CGCCGCCGCTGGCTCTGCAGGGCCGCGCGCTGCTGGGCGCTCCCCGAGACGCGGCGCGTGCGGATGGGCCCTCGCTGGGATCCAGCGCGGCGGCTTCGGTGCTGTTCGTGGAGTTAACCATTCTCAAGAATAAAACAGCAGAACGAGTGAGGATATTTTGTTTTCCTTTGTGATATCCAGGAGTTCTGATATTCTAAAACTGTTAATCAGAATGATTCTTCATGGTTAAACAAACTTTTTTTTTTTTTTAATTTTGCTTTTTTTTTGCACTGGAAATAGTTAAGATGTGCTCAGATTTTTTAGGGAAGTTGCTTTAAATTTTCTGATATTGTCATTGTTAGTTAGGCAGGCTCCTAAATACCAGCATCAGGCTAAAAAAAATAAACAGCAGTGCTGAATTTATGAAGTTTTATGGTAGACTTTCCAACTGGTGGTAAGTCAGTATGTTTATGTGCAGGATAGCTCTGTGAAACCTAATTATTTTCAATTTTCTTTCAATGGGAGAATCGTACCACAGTTACCAAGTACTTTTCTGTCCTCCTCATCCAGCATTCTTGGCTGTGCAGAGGGCTGTTTGGTTTGTGTTGGAAGCTCCAAGAGGGCTGAGATGGGAATGAGCTGGGACCTGTGGAGAGATGAGGGTTTTCTCGGGGTCGGCAGTTCCGTTAGTTTCTCTCCGCATGGAGCGGTGTCTCGTGTTCGCGTGGCAGGACCAGGATTGACGTCTCAGTTTGTGCTCCCAGGGCTGTCCTGGAAGCGGTTGTTGCCGCAGGGCGTTGGGCTGGGCCCGAGCTGTGCGTCCGGGAGCGCTCCGGGTGGACCGAGCGGGCCGGGGCGGCAGCGGCCCTGCCTGCCCGGGGAGCCCGCGGCCTCACGGATCCGCAGGGCCCGGCAGCTGGTGCTGCCGCCTTATCCTGGGGCCCCGAGGGAAAAGGAGGCTTGGGGAGCGCTGTGACCACCCTCCTGCTCCCGCTTTGCGCAGTCCTGCTCGGCATCAGCTACGGGCCTCCCCTCGAGGTTCTGATCCTTTTGATTCCTTCGATCGCTTCTGTTCACAAAACAGAGGTTTGGGTTCCGTTCAGGAAAAAGTAATAGGCAAGCTTCAGTATTTTGCCTTACGGTTGTCTCTAGGATAAAGATAAATACAGATAAACTGAAGGAATGTGTGTGTAGTTGTTTTTTATGGAGTGTTTCTGAAAGTACTCTCTGGCATCTCCAAAAGTTTTGAACACTTTCTTAAATATGTAGATCTTAATGTAAAAAAAACTTAAAAGACTTGTTTCCTTTCTGCAGCTTCCCATAAAAGCTGGCCAGCAGAATACCCACACCAAAGTCAGCACAGAACACAACAAGGAGTGTCTCATAAACATTTCCAAGTACAAGTTTTCCCTGGTCATAAGTGGTCTCACCAATATCTTAAAAAATGTTAATAACATGGTAAGTTTTCTAATTTTGGTTTGTCGGATATTTTCAAGGTATTATTTACTTATATAGACTGTGCAGGAAGTGATTTGAAACTTGTCGAGTTGTTGCATGCCTTTTCTGTTTCAATTTGCTGTTTTCATCCTCCTGTGTAATAACGTTCGCCAGCAGTGTTGAGCTCTTGCATGAAAAGCTGGGAAGATGGTTGTGGCCGTGCAGTCCAAGACAGGTCAAGATCAAGGGGACTCCTCGGTGTTCCTCGTGGGAAAGGCTGGAGCCGGAGATGCCTGGGGCTCCCTGGGGAGCGGGGACACGATGGCACCTGTGAGCGGTGCTGGGATCCCAGGAGGCGACGAGGGGGAGCGTTTCCCATGGCATGGAAAGGTGTTCCAGGAGCGAGGAGGCGGTGCGGGAGGAACGCGGCGGAGCAGAGAGCGCTACCTGCTCCGAGCTGTTCCGGGAAAGGATTTAAAACTTAGCAGGAACTTTCCAGGCTGGTTTGTTGCTTTAATACTTGTATTTCCAGTCCATTGCCAGCTGGAGGTCTGCTGTAACACTGCAAAGGATTGATCAAATCAGAAATCAAAAAATACTGCCCTGCTCTAATGAGTTTGGCTACCTGTAATCCTTTTGAAAAGGGATTTATTTTAATTAAACAAGGATTGTCTCAGCCTAATAAGAGAAGGCTGTCTATACAATTGAAACAAATATCTGTGTATGATATGTAGATTTTGTGAAGAAAGACCTTGCTAAAAATGTCAGTAAAAATGACCCTGTTTGCTTTGCACTGAGGAGCAAGAGTTTCTGTGGTTGATGGAGAGAGCTGCTTGCGAGTCAGCAGTATTTTGAAAGGATTCCTCTGGTGGGAGGAAAGAACAGAATAAACCAACAGGCTGTCATAACGCTTGTGCTCAGAACAAAATCTTGAGGGTTTTGCTCTGCTGAAACTTGAAATTAGGTGAACTAACCTCTTAGGCGGCTTTAAATATAACTTCTTTTGAGTTACTTCTACACTGTGCTCCCTCTGCAGGCAGTATATTTTTGGCCACTTTTTTCTTCTGCTTTGTTTTGTGCTCTCAGTGCTAATATTGTTTGAACTAGTCACTGTTGTTGGCAATAAAGTTGGGTGCCTGGTGCACTTCTGCCTGCAGCTTCTCTCTAAAGTGTAGCATCTGCTTGGAGGGTCTCATGGCTGTTTCTTCCTGTGGTCTGTGCTGAATTTTGCTGCACTTGAACGAGTTTGTAGATATGGATTTGTGGTAACATCAGTTCTATTAAGTAAGGTTTTGGCAATGAAAGGCATATTTGGAAAAATCATTTAAAATGATACTAAAATAACTCCTGAAAAGGAGTTTATATTTACTGCTTTTATTTCTAAAATTAAAGCCAGAGTAATAAAGGAGCCATAACTTATTGGGCCACTATGCTACGTTACTGTAACATGTTACAAGTGAAATTTTTGTGCCTCAGATGAATCTGCATCCTTTCTTCTTCTAGAGAATATTTGGTGAAACTGCTGAAAAGAATTTATATCTATCTCAGCTGATTATCTTGGATACACTGGAAAAATGTCTGGCAGGGGTGAGTAGTTAGTGTAAGTCATATGCTTGTGTGTCTGTTATTACTGGTATTAAAGTTAAAACTCATCTGATTTAGAGAAAAGTAGGAGTCATGCTAATTCATGCTAAAATAAAAAAGCACCAAAACTTGCTATAAATACAAGTAGTTAATATTAATGATGAGTTAAGGATTTGTTGAGTGGATATTTTTCCTCCATGAAGTCAGTGATGACAATTTTAGTAATAATAATTAGAGCCCATTTCAAAACTGAATAGATCACCCTTCCTGATACTCAGCTTGGTTGTGGAGTTAAAAACAGTGGTTTACTTAATTCTTAAAAAAGAATTGCAGACAAAAGTAATCAAGTCTACACATGTATATGAACTGAAATATGAAATAAGAAAGTACATGAACACGAAGGTTTGGATTTGGTTAGTTAGTATCATAGATGTTTATACAATGCCAGTGGTATTTTGCCTTCTACTTTTTCAAAGAGATGCTTGAGCCCCCTTCCCCCCCCCCAAAAAAAAAGGAAGAATAGTTTATCATGTTAAAAGAAGAAAATAATTCAGTGCAACTATTATAATACTATATTACTAAGGTTTCTGCAGACAAGGTTGATTTTTCTTGAGAGTTCTTGAGGTTTTTTTTTTGGTGATGCAATGTTATTTCAGTTTCGTGTAATTTTACACACAGCAGAAACTTTGCTATCACTATTCCAAAGATTACTTTTGCAGGTGTTTCCTAGTTTACATTAGTTAACCACGTCCAAGCTTCCACTGGGAGTCCAGTCCTGAGGTTTCCAGTCAGGGCTGTGCTGAGAAGCAGTTTGCTTTTACCTTTGGGATGTGAACGGCTGTGCAGCTCACTCTGCTGAACTGTGTAATTGCAAAGCCAAACTTCACTGCGAGCAAAATTCGTAAAACCTCTCGTTTATTCCTTTAACACAAAAGGTTTTTTTGTTTGTTTGTTTTTTCTTAAAAAAAAAAGCTATTTTCCTGGCTGAATGTCATGAAATCATCTCAGCTCTTTGATGTTTCCCTGTAACTGCTTTTGGAGGTTCTTTCTTTATAAGGTAATGAACATGCTGTGGTTAGGTTTGTCAAGCAGCATATCTTTTATTACAGTACCGAAACAGTCTGAATAATCGTGAGTTCTTCTAAATTCACAAAAGATTCAGGTAAATATGCTTTGCAGAATAGTTTCAGCTTTTTAAGGTAAAGTGAATGCCTCTTTTAGGCGCTTTTTTTTGTATTTGATTCAGTGGGTCAAAAAATTGAACTTAAAGTTGAACTTTGTTTCTTGAAACATCTTTTTTTTCTGATTCATGATGATATTTGAACAGACTATAATTGTGCTGAATGCTTCCAGCTCTCTCAATTCAAATGAGAGCAAGTTGAGCCAGTATACATTTAATACGAGTGAGGCAGAGCTCTATGCAGGCAACGTTGCGCTCTGTCGTGTCTTCGGATGTGTTTCTTGCTCCCTGTTCTTGCTCAGTGTTTCACCCAAGTTCTCATGGCAACAGGACTCAGGTCAACTAAGTGGGAGTCTCTGAAACTTCCCAATTCCCTATGGTAAATTCATTGGTAGAATTTTATAAAGCTTTAATGTTGACCCTTCTGTTAAAACTTGCTCTTAGTAGAGCAAAGTTTCACTTCAAATTCTTTTGCAAATAGTTTCCTAATGTCTCATACTGTGCAAATTGGCAAAAATTGGATTTTTGTTCTGCAGGAAAGTTGAGCCATTTTTGACTTGTATAGCACAATCCTAGGCAAGAGCTCAGGAGAATCACCGTTTTTCAGTTCATTTAGAAAAAATATTTACCTTCAAAATACCCTGGTAGGAATACTATCCAAAAGCAAAGCAAGGGTAGGTGTTTTGCCCTTTGAGCTTCCATTCAAACAGCAATCACTTAATGCTCTACTGCTAATACTTTACCCTGATCAACAGGATACAGTCCTCACAACAGGAATGTACTTAATTTCAAAAATAATTTGGTATTTGGCTTGGTATTTGATGGTATTATCAATTTAGTGTCCTACATATTTTGGAGTCTAACCTGAAAAATGTAAAATTGTGTGAATATGGGTTATTGTCAAAATGAAAAAAAGCCTTTTCTGTGGAGGCTGCTTATAGCACAGTGGTGCCTGCAGGCAGGGTTGGAAGATCAGATTCAGGTCCTGTGATACCAGTGGCTAGACACTGCATATCCTACAAAATGAAATTTCATCGAATATGGAATGTTTGTTTTCAGCAACCGAAAGACACCATGCGACTCGATGAGACTATGCTGGTGAAACAGTTGTTGCCAGAAATCTGCCACTTCATCCACACTTACCGCGAAGGGAACCAGCACGCGGCTGAGCTGCGCAATTCGGCCTCTGGGGTCCTGTTTTCCCTTAGCTGCAATAATTTTAATGCTGTGTTCAGCCGCATCTCCACCAGGTAAGAGCTTTAGTAACTTAGCTTGGCCAGTGCATGAGAAAACTGAACAAATACTGGGGTCTAGAACATTTGCATGAATTGCAGGCTTTTGCATCTGAGAAAAGTTAGCTATGTAAAGATAATTCAACAGACAGTTAACTGAAACACTTCCTACCTTTTGAAATTTTGCTTGAATTTCAGGTTATAAAATGTATGCATTTTATATCCATTCCAGATTCCAGCATATTTCCTGTGTGCTATATATATTGCACTGCTTTTTAATCTACTTTTTTAAGTGCAAGTCAAATGCTATTGCAGAGTGAAGCTAAAGATAACTCATAAATCTATTGCTATATCTCAAAGTTGAATAAGTAACTTCTGCTTTAATAATTCCTGTTTCAAGTACATAGACTGGGCAGCATGGAGGGCTGGTTTTTGCTCAATAAATTGATAATATTTAGTTATGAATCAGGAAACAATTTCATTTGCTCCTTTTATAGGAAATAATTTTCAGGCGAACTTTTTTGACAGTCTTTGAATCTACACCATGACTCTCAACTTATTCATATGGCTGTGGTATAGCCTAGTTCTTAGGCTACAAAACCATTCATTTACCATCATTTTGAGCTGGTACACTTTGGGGGGAGGGTGGTTGTTTTTCCCTTGTCCTGCTTCCTGCTTTGCGATAGCTCGCACAGAAACAGTTAAACGTTTGCCCGGTTGTTGCTGATCTCCACGGGGGTCAGCTTGCCGACAGTTAGCGTTGCTGCTCTCTTGACCTGGGCTTCCTGTTTAGGCATATTTCTAGGCCTCGTACAGCAGCTGGGGGAGTTTTGGCATGAAAAGCCCAGCAGTGGGGACCTTCCCATTCCCAGCGTGGGCTGTTAAGTTTCCCCGGCGTTGAAGAAATGAAGAGCAGCTTTTGTGTGTAGTACTAGAAATCGCATTCCACGTCCAGTACACATCTGTAGGGCTGGAACACGTCACGGCAGTCTTCGTGTGTGAGAACATGTGATTTAGTTATTAGTGGCTAAGGATCTGATGAGATGTTTAGTAAATTATTTAATACAAAAGTGTGAAGATGTACTATAGTGCTTAGAAGAGCATGATTAACGTTGATCCTGTTTCTTCGGGGGAGGAAAACGTGGAGCTGCATTAGCTTGCAAAGAGCAGTTGTAGCTCACAACAATATTAAGGCCCATCAGTCATTGCTCTGCTCTAGAGAAGTTAGCACAGCACAAGACATGCTGGTAAGGGCCAGTAGGGAAAAGGTGTCGTGATTCCATGAGTTTAGTATTTAGATGGAAAGGCGACATTGACTACTGCTGCAATATGGTAAATAACAGAAGGATTTAGGCAAAGCTTGGTGCAAGCAGAGTACCATGAGATGGTATTGATCTCTTGTTAGATTCAGCATTATTGTCTCTACATGTGTATTCAAGGTGAAGATGGAACAGAAGTGTTGTAATGTAGCTCTTAATCATGCACGGTCTGTTTTTCATTTTTAGCTTGGAGATGTTCACATGAGAATATATGTGGAGATGATATAATGTGATATTCCCCTGATATTCAGATGTTCAGAGTCATACTGATCTGGCGTTGTCTTACTGAGAAGCTGGTTTACTTTGTGTGTTTTTAGATTGCAGGAGCTGACCGTGTGTTCAGAGGATAACGCTGATGTTCATGATATCGAACTTTTACAGTACATCAGTGTGGACTGTGCAAAACTCAAACGACTCTTGCAAGGTCTGATGTTAACATATTTATCTAAATATTTTTATTTAAAGATGGCTGAAGATGACACAAGCATATTGATATGTATATCTTTTTATTATTGTATTTTACTCCATATATATATATATGTATTTGTCAGACTATTTTTTAAAAATTTCATTAGCGTAACAGTATTGGTGTAAAAGTTGCTTTGCGCTTCAAACTATAAAACTTCTGTGCTGCTTTTTAGAACCAAGTTTTTCTTTCAAATACAAAAATGTTTTTTCTTTGCAGAGACAGTATTCAAGTTTAAAGCCCTAAAGAAAGTAGCTCAGTTAGCTGTTATCAACAGTCTGGAAAAGGCAAGTATTATTTATTTTCGGCTTCATCGCTTGTTTACAGGCGATCTTTAATTTTAGAATTGCTGTAATTCAATAGTTTTGTGTAGACTGTATGGTGGTAGATCCCTTCAATGCAAGTGTACTTTACAGGAAATGTTGAGTCATTAGAAGTAGGAATGGAAGCTCTCTTCACTGAAACACATGATGCAAAAACTATTTTTTTTCTTAGCTGTGGAATGTAAAGGGCTTTTTGTGTTATCTGCAGGCGTTTTGGAACTGGGTGGAAAACTATCCTGATGAATTCACAAAGCTGTATCAAACACCACAGACTGATATGGCTGGTAAGACATAACAAATGACTTAGTGTTCAAAAGTTGGTTTGATTTTTCCCCTTGCTCTTCTCCCCCGTAGAAGTAGTGAAGGTTTTTTTCCTAAAACAACCCCACATTCACTTGGTTTTTGTGCTCTTCTTGCTTCTTGTGCAGCTTGCACAGTAAGAAACATTTTTCTGTCAACCTTTGTCTGGGCAGGCAGGGCCATGGTGAAGTCTTTTCTCTCCTGACTCAAGTCTTAACGAGCTTCATTCGTTGTTCACAAAACAAGAAAAAACAACCTAAAAATGCCAACTCTTAAATGTGTTTTTTAAGAACTGGTTTAAAGAAAGTCGCATGCATTTGTCTCTCGTCAAAGAGATGATGGATCTTTCTTATTTTTTTCCCAGATAAATCATGACTCTGGTAGCCTGTTCTTTTTCCCCAGTAGCATGTCAATAACATGCAAAACAGAACCTTATCCTATTTAGAAGGAACTGTCCTGCTGCTCTCTCAAACTTATTTTTCACTTCATAATTAAAGATAGTACTCAACTTGGCTATGTTTTGTGCAGATTGTGCAGAGAAGTTGTTTGACTTAGTGGATGGCTTTGCTGAAAGCACAAAGCGTAAAGCAGCAGTCTGGCCACTGCAAATCATACTGCTAGTCCTGTGTCCTGAGATAATCCAAGATATAGCAAAGGATGTGGTAGAAGAAACTAAAATGAACAAGGTAAGAGAAGAAAAATATCTGAATTCTGGTATTTAAAGAGAGCTTGTCTTGCCTTATTCTAGATTAAAGGTGTATTTAATGTCTTTTTCTTCTAAAAAGCGCATTACATTTCCATATGTAAATTTCTACATCCTTATTAAAATTATAGCCTAATGTATATTCTCTCATTGTCAGTAATTCATACAGGCTGTATTTCCCAAACAAACATTGGTTCAGAATTTGTCCCATTCCCTGGAGATTTGAATCCCAATGTTGTGCTTCCGCTGCCTCCACTGGCAGCAAGTTTAGCACTGCTTCTGTCTGACTGTGTTGTATCATTCTTTGGTTCTGCAGTGTTTGTGCTGTGTTCTCTAACTGCAGTGCCTGCAGCAGATGTGGCACATGCATTATGTTAAAGTGTAAAACAAAATATATACTTGTCGCATCAAAATTGCCCTGGCAGGTCCAAAATTAATATGTAATAAACATAATGTGTCTCCAAAATAATGCATGAACTCAGGTTGCTTTTTGCAAACCCCATATCCCTGACTTCTGATCAGAAAGCACCGTTTTGTTTAATGCTTAAGAATCTAAAACTGACTGTAAATTACCAAACCTCTGGTTATACCTTTTTTGGTTTGAACAGAAACTGTTCCTGGACAATCTCAGGAAAGCCCTTGCAGGCCACAGTGGAAGCAGACAGCTGACTGAAAGCGCTGCTATTGCTTGTGTTAAATTGTGCAAAGCATCTACCTACATCAACTGGGAAGATAATTCTGTCATTTTCCTACTAGTGCAGTCCATGGTAGTAGATCTTAAGGTAAAAAAGAAATCTTACTTTCCTAATTACAGTGAATAAATTTGAATTTTAAAATGCCGGAAAACATTTTTCTTCTTAATTGACTATCATAGTATTTTTCAGTGGAAGATTTTTTTTTTTCTAATTTCAGCAGAAAATCAACTCAGTTGTTTCATTGCCTGTTTCATTCCCTTAACTATTTTTGCTTATGCCCTGCTTTCTTTCTGCTGAAGTTCTGCATTCTGCTCTTTACTCAGCATTTCATGGCTGAAAAGGCACTGGATATTTTTTTTATCTTCACGTTAAAATACAATCATATTTCAAAGTTTTTTAGAAGTAGTGATTGATTTATTAGAATTAAAAGGAATATGAATTGAATATTTTAGGTTTAAGTACTAAGAGACAGTTCAAAATGTAAATTAAGAACAGCTTCTATCTCCTTTTTCCTCCTGTGATGTATTGAAGGTAGACAAGAATAATCTTTGTATCTGATTATTTTATGCATAGAATTTGCTGTTTAATCCAAGCAAACCATTCTCAAGAGGCAATCAGAATGCAGATGTAGACCTTATGATTGACTGCTTAGTTTCCTGCTTCCGCATAAACCCTCGCAACAACCAACACTTTAAGGTGAGACCACTACTTACTGGGACCTGTCATTTTCTCCTCATGCTGTTGGCCTGGGAATTATCAAAGACTTGCCAGCAGCAACTGGACGTTCATTAATAATTTCAACCTTGTAAATATTCCTTAGTAATAACCCTCTTCATGTTTTTATAAATCTGTTCTTAGCTGGTTGGACATTCTTATTTTTATATTTGACATTTTTTCCAATGTAACAAAAAGGCTCCAATGTGTTACTCGGTGTGATAGGAGAGATGTCAGAGAGAAATGTGTTCCTAAATGGCCTTTATGAATTATTTTTGTTGCAGATCTGCTTGGCCCAAAATTCCCCTTCGACATTTCATTATGTACTGGTAAATTCACTCCACCGAATAATCACAAATGTAAGTTCTGAAAGTGTTTAAGAAGTCTGTGGCTTCTCTTCATATCAATATCTGGTTAGTAAATGGAATTTAAATGGCAGAGCAAATCTTGTTGCCTTTATCCATGCAGCAAGAGTTTGTTACTAAGAAGGGCAATCAAATAAATTTTGTTCTCTGTCTTCCCATTAGATTACCAGTATAAGAATGTGTATTCCAGTATAAAATTTCAATATAAATATATCTTAAGTACTCTTTGGTTTTATATTATGTGCTGCTTTACTCCTACATGAGAAACTTGCACCATACCAAGTCATACAATATCTGCTGCTACTTCTAGCATATTGCCGTGGAAGTTGAGGGGAAGAGTCCGCTTTATGATTTTGTCTAGAGATCTGATACAGCGTAATCTGAAGCAGTGTTAAATAGTAGAGTGCCAAAATTTGAGAGTTTGTGTAAGTGTTCATCTTGAATTTGTTACTCTGGATTCTTATGCCACTGAAATAGGACTTTATACCATTCAGAAATATTTTCCTGATCACTCTGGGCATAGAGGTTTGGTTTTCTCAGCGCTGAGCAGCCAGCCTTGCTTAATTTACATAACCTCTTGCATTTCATTAATGCAGCATGGTAGTGAAAATACTACGTTAAAAAGGTATTGGGCATTTTGACAATAGGGGGAACATGCTGCTCTAAGATACGAAGGTGTACTGGAGCAGAAATAGTAAAGTTATTGTAGGTATAGTTCTGTTAGATTTTTTTGGTACACTTTCAAACTAGGTGCTATTCTTTATTTAATATGTTGTGTTATACAGTATTTCAAAGATTACTAAGCATTGGCAATATCAACATTCTGTTTCATTCTGTATGTCACAAGGAATTGAGTACATATTAAATGCTCATTTTGAAGTATTGCTTGTTAGCTTTCTGTATCCTGGAGTCTGTCATGGTTTCCTGTAGTCCCAGTTTCAGAGTTGGTGGTTATGCATAAAGAGTTATAATATAGTAAGCAGCTAACTTGGAAGTATTGCTTTTGCTGCAACTCATCTAAATATTACTGATTTTGTGGCTAAAATGAAAACTTAACAGAACAGCAATGTTGTGTCAATCATGCCTGTCTGTAAAGGTGGTTTATCACAGCTTTTGTAACTTACAGATTTTAAAATAAATGAGAATGTCACCCGTGTATATCCCATATACTGCTTGATCATTCCTGCCTTTTAATTCTAGTCTGCATTGGACTGGTGGCCCAAGATTGATGCTGTGTACTGTCATTCCGTGGAGCTTCGCAGCATGTTTAGTGAGACGCTTCAAAAAGCTATTCAAGGCTGTGGGGCACATTCAGCAATTCGCATGACACCGGTAAGACATGTACAGAAGCTGTTAAAACACAAACCCTTTGCTTTTTCTGTGTCTCCTTTCCTTTCCTGCTTCTTTATTCATCAGCTTTAGCCTGGAAACCAGAGAGGGGGAAACACTGCAATCCAAAAAACAACGGAGCCCCATACATGCTCTGTAAACTTGCAGTTCTTGGTGTGTTGACTACCTACTGGTAGTCAGTTGGTGATGTATGTTTTCTAGTCTTCATGCTGCTTCAAAAGTGGCAGCACAGAAGTATTCCTTCTGTAACTATCCCCTATGGCTAGTTGTCTATTTTAAGCTTTTTTTGCTGTATAAATAGCTAGGAAATATATCCATTTTTGTTGCCTCTTGGAAAAAATAAAGTCATACTTTCACATGCTAGGTTTTCATAACTGCAAGGCTTTTACCATGATTGGCATGGTTGTTTCTTTGTCCTGCTTTCTACTGAGCCAGTTGACTGTTTGGCCTCAGTGGCAGCAACAAAATAATAAAGATTTTTTTAAACATTATGAAATAAAGTCAATACTCTTGATATTCGAGGAAATCTTGGGTAATTCAAATTAAGATACCATTTTTTAAGTTTATATTCAGCTATGTTGCCTTTGTTCTGAACTTTCCCTGGAGGACTTTTAACATGTCAAGTTAACCAGCTAGTTTTCTGAATTGCAGCCCCCAAACATGATGGATGTTTAATTTAGAAGGAGGCCGACAACAGTATGCAAACACAATCCTGTTGGGCCTCTCATATGAAAGAACATAAGCAAAATATAGCAAAATATCCTTTAGTTGAAAGCTACACCATGTTTAACTTACGTTTTACTTATATATATATTCATCTGTTGAGAAACTAGCAGGGGTGTTTTAATGGCAGCTCTGGCACTGATTGGTGGCGCTTTGTCTTCTGCTTCCTTTCGGCTCTCGTTGGCTGCTGTCGCTCGTGGCCAGGTGCCACCCAGGCCCTGGTTTGCA